GTCGTTCCCAAAGCTCTGACCGGAGCAGGTTCTTTTTAAGGAGCCATAAAAACTCTTACCTGGAGACAAAGGAACTGTCAGACTCTGACTTTTTAGATTAGTTCAGATTAGTGGGGTTTTTTTTTAGTTTTTTTTTTTTTTTAGTTTAAGCCTCTTTCCAGCATGAACTTGGCCTGGCCACAATGCTTTCTTCCCCCCCCGACCCCCTTCCTCACCCTCACAGCTAATCATTCCCCGTCCATGTGGTTATTAACATTCAGAGTTCAACACACGTCATTGTTCTGTTTCTCTCTGCTCTCTGTTAAATCCCGCTCAGACTTGAAGTTTCCAAAGTGCTGCTAATCACCTAAAGCAGCTCACGCTCTGTGCGACGGTGTTAACGACTGGTCGGGGACTGCGTTATGATGTGGTCGGGTCAAGACTTTGTTATAATAATAAAAGAAAATCTCTTTCCGTAATGAATTCAACGTCGAACTGTAACAGATGTGAAGCCCCGAGCAGTCGATCCCAGAGTCGCTGTGTTTACAGGGAACTTGTTTTCGTTGATAAAAAAAAAAAAAAAAAAAAAAAAAAAGACATTTACTCAGAAGTTGAGTCTGAAGGAGTCATGTGAGGAGCAGATGATCGTCACGGTTTCACGGCGTTCATTATGAAACTATAGAGAGAATGTGCGGCGATGGAGTTTATTTATTTATTATTTATTATGAATCCATTTCAATAATCAGAGGATTGTGTACAGAACGCTGGTGCCAACAAGTGTTATGACAAAATTATATATATATATATAAATGTGCTAACATCCGCCACTGAAACGCACGTAGTCACTGGAAAAACACTAAGGACCAGCCCGACCTAATGTGTGCTGGCCATCGATAAGAGATCCTGCTCATTATCTGTGCTCCGTTTCCTGTAAGAGTTTCTGTTTGCCCCCCCCCACACACACACACATGCACACACATATACAGCTCACTATAAATGTAACTTTTATTGGCATATAAATTCCATCCTGGGACCAGGGCGTTCCTGAGGATAGTTGGAGAAAAATGAAGTGACACTTTGTTTTTGTACATTTTTATTTACAGTACAGTAAAAACGCAGGAGGTCAAACTACAGGACATACAGAAACATTGAGTTTTTTTCTAATTGGTGTCTGATTTGTTATGTTCTCAGATTAAACGATGCTCCGGTGAAGGGCTACGAGAAGGATGTGGGCAGCAAGACCACCATGAGGTTCTTCTACCCTGAATCAGCGTCCAACAACCCCGGACTGCACAATGAGCCCGACACGCTGATGGTCCTGGTGCCGTTCAAAGAGCAGGACCTGCAGTGGCTCAAAGAAATCCTCTATAATGAAAAGAGGGTACAGGATATGTGTGAGAACACACTCACACACACTCACACACACTCACACACACACGCAGCTCCCTGACATAGTCTCTCTCTCTCCTCACTCCTCTTCCATCAAATTCTTGAAACGTCCGACTGCGGAGACGCCTGGTCCTTCAGAGTCCACTGACTTTTCCGTTGCAGACATCCTTCGCTCTGTTGCTCCCGGCGCCTCCAGCCCTGACGCTGCTAATAGTTGCAGGGTCATTACTCGCTAATTTGCACATCGATTTACTTGCCTGGAGACATGAAGGAGTCCAGGCTTTAATTGCCATCTCTGTTTGGATAAATGAAGTCAGAAAGCGGCCAGAAATAGCTGCTGAAAATGCCCCCCCCTCTCTGTTCCCCTCGTCCTTCTTAAGTCAACAACATCCATGGACTTATCGTCTTCTATTGTTCATGTGCCTATCACAGGTCAGGAAAGGCTTCTGGAAGCCGCCTCCCCAAATCTGGACGGTGGACGTCGGTAAGATTAGAGTCCTCGACCCTCACTTTCTGTTCCATACTGCGGACCGATTACTTCAGATTCCTTTGCAGCCCAAAGGTAAACAGGTGAGACATTGTTTCCACATTACTGCCTGGACAACCCAGTCCCTGCCCACTAGTTACTAGTTACTAGTTACTAGTTACTAGTTACTAGTTACTAGTTTTTTATATAAAACAAGGCTACAATCGTTTGCATCTGTATGTGTTACGTCGCTGTCAAATTATATTCTGGAAACTGCCCGTTGTGGAAGCTGCCTCTCTGTCGCCCCCTATCTTTCTCCTGAGTCACAACACGTCTGTGAAAGGAGAACTCGTGTCTCATGTTATTTGTTGCTGGTTCAGGTTTATAGTCAGATGAGCAGAGAAACAAACCAAAAGGTCGAGCGTCGACGAGTCTCTTCCATCACTTAGCGTTAGCGCCACCAACTGGCAGAGTGTCAGTGACCATCAACTGGTGGCTCACAGGCCGAATTGGGCGCACCAAGTCGTCCTTTCTGGTCATTTAGTGTTATTTAGAGGAAGCAGAGTTTTATTTCCACTGTTGTTTTTTTTTTTGTTTTTGTTGAGTATTTCTCTCTTTTCCCTCCTTTTTTTTTCTTCCTCTTGTCGACGATGTCCCACGTGAATGTTAACGAGCCTGGACGGTGCGTCCTCTGATTAGCCACAGCTTCTTGACTGATATGTTTGGAGTGCAGTGATAAACAGTTTACTGGAAGAGGCATCATCCTGAACCTCAGCCAGAGTTTCCAATTACTGCGAAACACAAACACGACCACTCTCTGCTTGGCACGCTGACATTTCACCAGGAGATAAGCTCCCAGGGTGCAAAGTCAGTCGCTGGAAAATAATTAGCTTTTGGGAGAGGGCCTAAATTTTGTATTTATTTCAACAAGAAACTCTCCAGTTCAGTCTTCTGTTGTAAATCCTCTGGAAAGTTTGTAATTGCAGTTTTATGATGCGATGTACGAGATCCTAGCCCACCATGTTGTCATCCCTTTTTTTTTTTTTCAACCAAACAAAAGGAAAATGAGAGCAAACAACAAAGAGAACATTTAATAACAAACACGTGTAGAAACCGCAGTCAAAGAACAGTGTTGTTTTTTTTTTTAGCTTTCGTTTGGATCTTTGAATCGTCCAGGGTTTGACTTGGACCGGGACCACACGTAGAACAGAGTTCATATTGAGTCATCACATCCTCTCTGCCAAGAGAAACAGCTTTTGTTTTTTTGGTTCTTGTTGTTGTCCTGTCAGTCGGATGACAGGAGTCAGGTGGATGTTGGTGTTCTTGACTGGACGGAGGGATGGAAAAAAGGAACGGGAAAAACTCTGTGTCACGTAAACTGTCTCTGGGAAACATTGTTGTGATGATGTCATGAATGAGTGAACGACTGGTGAAAAGGGGAGGAGGGGGGCGGAGCGGTGATGTCACTTTCCTGATTTTCCCGGGGGGCGGGGCGGTGATGTCACTTTCCTGATTTTCCCTTAAAAAGGCAGCTTCAAGTCTATTCCATACTTTCTGAACTCCAAAATACACCATACTTCCATACTTTCTGAACTCCAAAATACATTTTTGCTAGCGATCTTCGATACTAACTTTTTGCCGATATCCCGATATTATTCAAACACTTTCCGATTCCGATATCAACCGATACCGCTGTAGGGCAGTGGTGGTTAGGAAGGAAGTGTTCAACCTATCACCTAAAGTGATAGGTTAAACAGTGTTTCTCAATTATTTTCTGCCATGCGCCCCCTAGAGGACAGATCTTTTTTTTAATATCGGTAAATTTTTGCATTTTGTATCATTACATCCGTACTAAAGAAAACCAAACAAAATTATTGGGTTGTACACACCAGCCAATGGGTGGAGCTTCCCATTCCGGGCGTATATATTTGAATCAGCTGCAGCGTGAATGATATTAACACAGATAATTTCTTGATTTTGGAAAATTATAAAACAAGAACAGACCGACGTTGATGACATTCAAGTATGTACCAAAACCCTGACAAAGAAAATTTAGCATAATGTGCCTCCTTTATAGAAGTGGTATATATTTTTGCTTTACATTTGTAACGACATTTTGAGTACGATGAAGGCCAAAAAGCACTGGTTTATTAAACGGCACTAACGTCAGCCTGTATTTCCCTTTCCTCTCGGATAAGTCGTATCCGTTGCTGTGCTTTTTATCTAAAAGCTTTGTCACAAAGGACAAGGACAACCCGTCCACCCGTCCACCCCTCCCTGTCCAAAGTCTGTCCTCTCCACCTGACCAACAGCTTCGCAGAGCTGGCTCACCAAAGTCCCAAAGTGTACGAGGACTGCAGCTCCTTTTATTGAGAAAGTTACATCAGTCCTGGGCAGTTGTTGTTTCTTTAAGTAGTACAACTTAAAGAAACAACAACTGGGAATGTTGGTCCCATTTATTTTTAATTTGATTAATATTTAAACCTCGATACCTGTTGCTAGGCGCCGTAATCAGTTATTTGGCCTGGTAGATATACTGTAATCGGAATTCATCTAACATCCTGTTTTTTTTTTGGGTTTCTGTTCCAATGCACTGGTGACCTGAGTTCAACCAGACCAAACCTAATAATCCCAAACACAGAGTTTAATGAATAACAAGCATCTGTGGAGGAAAGAGCAGTGAAATGGGAATAATTGGCTCAATTTCCAGTCAGTAAAATGTAAATATGTTAAATATTTCTTCTTTGCTAAGAAACAGATTAAGTTTTTTTATTTCACCTTTTGTTCACCTTTTTGTCTCCTAAAAACAAACAGCAAAACCTTTGATACACAGGGACGGCACCATAGGTCATATAAAGTACATAGATGTTGTCGTATAAAGTTACTCGGAATTTCAGTCTTTGAATTTTTATTTTGTTGACAGAGAGTTGTTCAGCCAGATCCAGTCTTTACCTGGAAGGCACACACACAGAAGCAGGCCTTTGTAGTTGTTGGTCTGTGAAGCAGTGATGAAGTGCAGGGTAGACACGTCTTCACAGACAGGGCGGCGACAGAGGGAGGCTGACGATAACAGAGAAAAGCTGCAGAACAAAGATATGAAAGAGCTGTTGGTGAAACGGCACGTCACGTTTGGGGGCGTGGGTGAGAATATCACCTCACTGACAGTTGAGGGACGGCAGACAACACCGGGAACAAATTATTTTTTGTTTATTCCAACCGATGTGAATTGTCACGCATGTGTAATTTTAATCGAATCACGGTGCGGTGAAAACAAGGTGCATTTTATCCAGTCCCAGTGTCCAAACTTCCCGAAACGTTTTGAGGTTTAAAAGTAGCATGTTGCATATTTTGTTGTCACCAGGATCTCCCTCTCATCCCGAGTCAGCAGATTGGCTTTGTTTTTATATTTTCTAATTATATTCTGTTTAAATGCAGAAATAAACCAGGTCACATTCCTTCTTTGTGTGATTTCTGGGCCATAAAAACCAGGTCTGACATCAGGACTCAAACTTGTAAATTGATGGAAACACTCTCTCAGGTGCCCTTCAACCACCGCGGTCACATACAGGCAGCCACTGAGCTGATGTAATTGGGTCGCACTCGGGCTGACAGATGGATGTCATGGCGTCCTGTTTCTGCACACACACACTTTTACTACCAAAGTAGATGATTATTATTATTCTTTTACACATACTTTTTGGTACATTTCTGTTTGGTAGTGCAGCACGGGATTTTGCGCGTTTAGGAAATACTGCCCATGAGCAACAGAATCACCAGTTTGCTGGTTCCATACCTGGTCCTCC